ATGCTTAAACTCCTTTACTGTGTTAACCTCTACCACTTCAGCTGGAAGGCTATTCCATGCATCCACTACCCTCTCGGTAAAGTAATACTTCCTGATATTATGTTTAAACCTTTGTGCCTCTAATTTAAGACTATGTCCTCTTGTTGTGGTAGTTTTTCTTCTTTTAAATATAGTCTCCTCCTTTACTGTGTTGATTCCCTTTGTATATTTAAATGTTTCTATCATATCCCCCCTGTCTCATCTTTCCTCCAAGCTATACATGTTAAGATCCTTTAACCTTTCCTGGTAATATTTATCCCACAATCCATGAACCAGTTTAGTAGCCCTTCTCTGAACCCTCTCTAAGGTATCAATATCCTTCTGAAGATACAGTCTCCAGTACTGTGTACAATACTCCAAGTGAGGTCTTACCAGTGTTCTGTACAATGGCATGAGCACTTCCCTCTTTCTACTGCTAATACCTCTCCCTATACAACCAAGCATTCCTGCTGCTCTATTACATTGTCTGCCTACCTTTAAGTCATCAGAAATAATCACCCCTAAATCCCTTTCCTCATATGTTGAGGTTAGGACTCTATCAAATATTCTGTACTCTGCCCTTGGATTTTTACATCCAAGATGCATTATCTTGCACTTATCCACATTAAATGTCAGATAACACATGAGTTGTGGGCGAAACGCGCGCGTCAGGGGCCATCGGTGATTCTTTGCAACACCTTGCTGTGTGGGCTATTGACCGTACCTGTCCACACTTCCCTCAGAATCCCGTAGTATATTACTGTTAGAACCGGGCGGCTTTAGGTGGCGGGTTTTTCCCCCTTCACATGCATTTATCAGCGGTAACGATTTTTCCTCTACCCCCATTTACCTCACTGTCACTTTTTGTTTATGGGTCGCTGATATTTAGCTCACCGACAATCCGTTCCCAGGATTTCTTACAGTCTTTCTCAGATTAGCCATCACATGTTATTTGCGACTTCTAGAGCTTTTTTACTGGTAACGTCCACTACTTAGCAATATCCGTGTTTCTGTGACCACAGACCCTCTTTTGCTAAGCTATTTAGTACTATTTGTTACATGACTTTCTCCAGATCAAACTAAGTACTATAGCTTTTGTCACAGTTGACTACATACTGCAACATTGTATTGATGCAGTTTAGATCTACCAGAGGTACACTGAAAACTTTTGAACAGGTCCTCTGTGTTTGCTACTCTTTTGAAATTTACTTTCAATTTCCATATTTAGATCTTAGTACGTTACCAATAAACTGTATCTATTTTTAATCTCTAATAGGTACCTTTACTTTAGTGTTGCAATCCTCATATCATATTATATTGCAACCATTTGTACATTTAGTATTACCACTCATTCTTTGCTAAACCTAGCTATTTATATCCACTTTTAACTTATTCATTAAAAGTTATTTTTTAATTTTTCTCAGGGCACTCAATTGTTCTATTTCTGTTATTACTACCTTGGTAGTTTATTGTGGGTTATGGTGTTATGGTGCGCAATAAGAGATTAATGATATCTATTAGAAAACCTAAAACGGATCAAGAGAGAAATGACAGATGGTTGACATTGTTTAATATTCAAGTTTCTTTTGTGCCCTGTAAAGTGACGGAAGAATATTTATCAGTAAGGCCAAGAGTAGAGGGCCCATTTTATGCATGCGGATTTATTTCTTTAACTCAGGTTCAATTTATAAAGGTTTAAAAAAAAATGTTTATATAATTTGGTTGGGCAAGGAGTATTACTCATCTTGTCCTTTTAGAATTGGAGCCGCAAACGAAGTGACGAGGTGTGGTTGAAGTGATGGAATCAGTCAAAGGTTGGGAAGCTGGAACTCTAACAATTTCAATTATATGTCAAGCTTCATTCGATAATAAATATAAATGAAATATTCTATTGGTAAATGGTTAATTGGTATTTATGAAAGTTATTGGTTTTATGGAAATTAGTACGTATACTAATAATTTTTCTTTTGTTAGGTAATAAGAAGCCGGCGTTTGCCTGGGTAATTGGTCATTAGTTTATGGTATGGGCCAAGAAGAGGGCAAAAGAGCAAACATATGGTGAAAATCTTGGTTTGGAAGCACAATGGTTAAAATATTTTGGCAGTGGTATTCATGGTGTGAAATGGTCAAATTTATTTAAGATATTGCAACAATTTACGTTGGTTTTCCTTACCCAGTTGCGATAGTGGTTCATCTGGGAGGTTCATCTGGGAGGTTCATCTGGGAGCTCTGGTATTTGATCTGGTTTTATTTATTTTTATACTGAGTGGTGTACTTAAATGCAGTATAATAGGTCAATATATAATCCCCGAGCATCAGGAAGGTCAAAATTAGGTTGTAGCTGTAAGCCCAAATGGGACCCGTTGAAGCTTATGTAAGTGAAGGCCTAGTATGATCTGTGTGTCAAGGTAGAGGAGTAGAAGGCCGAGAGAGCTCATTGCGATTCATGAATAGCGGGGTAGCCATTTAAGGACAGTATGATAATTAGCAGCTATATGAAGTGATATGATGTGGGTTGGTTAATGGTTGTTGAGCTGTGGAGCAGTTGCAATTTACACAGTGATAGCAGGTTGCCCACTGAGGGCCACATAAAGCATATGTTGTAGAAGGCCTAATATAAACATATATGTACAATGTCCTGCATCTCTCATGGGGACTTAATAATTTAACTTTTTGCATGAAAGGTTGTGCCTTTTTTTTGTGGAAAGCTGTGCTATTTTTGTATTAATTTATTTGTTTTCATGAAAAGGGTTGTGCTTTTTTTTTATTATTCCCTACGTGTATGCAGTTATGCAGTTGCCACTCTATTAAATATATGTATTGTTTTCACACTGTTTAGCACACCCTTCACTTTCCTATGATAGTGAAGGCCAAACATAACTATACCTAGATGCAGGATGGCCAAATTAAGGCATAATGAGAAGTTACAGGTGCATAATGATACAATTAAATGGGGTTTGATGAATGTTGAAAATATTTGAGTAGACCGTTTGCAATGTAGTATGTTATTGGTGATACCCAAGTGGTGGACCTAGTTCGTGGCATGTCTTGATTTGAAGTGTAAAATGTAAGTTATTTAAATGAATTATGCTGTGAATATGTCTGTATAACCATAGAACAGACATTATCATGACCAATATTATGTTAAAGTACAGTTGACCAGTACTGTACAGAGCCCAGAAAGGGCTTACACAATGTAAGTAGTGATGGACAGTAAAATAAGATTATTAACAGGCAGTACCATAAATGCTAACCACATGTTTGGGCCTGACATAAATTTAGACAATCAGCTGTCATATAATTATTAAACAATTTAGGCCGAATGAGTGCCTGAATCGCCAGGTGGCAGACATATAGAATACATATAGGTACTGAGGTTGGAAGAGGCCTGGTGAACACAAGTAACAAATGCTGATCTGCTCAAAGCTAACAAGGGCCGTATGGGCCAACAATCTGCAAATATGAAAAACTAAATATATGGCATCGCATTAAACATGAAAATTCAGGGTGACTAAATTAATTGCATATGATGAAATTGATATGGCCAAATGAGGGCCAAATACAGTAAGCAGAATGCATGAACCTAATTGAGGTATCACTATGATGCTATGTATGATTAAATCGCCATATCCGAATTAGAGCAGAATACGGACTGGACTGCGAATGCCTCCATAGTTAGTTAAAGGCTGAACATGTGGCAAATACATGTTGAATGTCGGGGACAGCTTGGCCCTACGTGGGCTGAATGAACAAACTTTTATTGTAATAAACGCGCAAACAGCAACAGTAAAAGCCACTGCTGGGCTGGAACCGGCAGAGCCCCATGAGGTTCGAAGGAGGTGGCTGTTTTTTACTAGAGTGAGGTAAAATTAATACTTGCATGGGCTGCACAAGGCCAAGACCAGCTTGTTTGGAGTTTAGGCAGTTTGTGTTGATGACCTTTGAACCGGAAGTAGATGGTTCTGTACTGAACCAGGCAGTCTCAGCACAGAGGAAGGGGAGGTCTGTGTATTTATAGGCCTGGTAACTCCTCCCACAATTACAGGCTTCGCCTAACGGATCAACGTTCTCATTTATATACTGTGTATGTATATATATATCTATATCCAAATAGCAAAGGTGACCAGCACTCACGGATTCATTAATTAATTAAAACATCCAAAGTTTAATGAAAAGAAAATAAAAAAGATTGTTGACAGTTAGCATTATGCTAATTCTTGGAATGTAGTTTGTAATTATGCCAATTCTCCTAATTACCAATTAGGCTAATTACTTTACCTATTTATGTATGGGGTTTTTGAGACATTATTGTTGTTCCTGATGAAAGTCCCAGAGGAGGACTGAAACGTTGAGCTGTCAACAATCTTTTTTATTTTATTTTCATTAAACTTTGGATGTTTTAATTAATTAATAAATCCGTGAGTGCTGGTCACCTTTGCTATTTGGATATTGGATCTTTCCCCAGGACTACAAGCACCCGGTATGTAGTAACTTTTGAGCCTGAGTGCAAGGATTTTGTTTTTATATATATTATAAGTATAATGGCACTCACCCTTACTGGTATACTAGGGATCCGATGCCCTGGTGCAATCCCACGCTGAAGTATATAATATATAGATAGAAAGGGCGCACTCTCCGGTCTTTTAGATATTACAAAATGATTTCTTTCGTTACAAAATGTAACACATTGATCGACGTTTCGACCCGTTCGGGTCTTCCTCAAGATCATTTGATCTTGAGGAAGACCCGAACGGGTCGAAACGTCGATCAATGTGTTCCATTTTGTAACGAAATAAATAATTTTGTAATATCTAAAAGACCGGAGAGTGCGCCCTTTCTAGCTATATATAAATATATATATATATATATATATATATATATATATATATATATATATATATATATATATATATATATATATATATATGTGTTCGGGGCAAATAGCCATATATGGAGTAAGGTTCCAGCATAAATGTAGGATAGTATAAAGGGAGCAAGTCGGTTGTGGTGTGCCGAGACCGACGATACGGTAGGCCTGTAAATAAAGAGGGCCCACCAAGGAGTAAGTAAGTAAAGTAAATGGAAAGAAAAGAGAAAGTGTTGAAATGAGGAGTGGGTGGGAGGGTCATTCTGATGCTGACCTCAAGCGACATGAGTCAGGTAAGGGGTGTCCCTTATATAGGGGAGTGAATTAATTTAAGCCCCTCCCACAAATACAGGCCAAATGGCCTTAAAACTTGTGTTCGGGGCAAATAGCCGTATATGGAGTAAGGTTCAAGCATAAGCGTAGGATAGTATAAAGGGAGCAAGTCGGTTGTGGTGTGCCGAGACCGACGATACAGTAGGCCTGTAAATAAAGAGGGCAAAAAGAATAATCAAAGATTTAATACAGTCAACAATATATACAAATTAACCAGACATTTCCTTAAATGCATTACGGTATTTAATTACTTGAAGGATTTTTGAAGGTAGGAATCTAGGACCGCAACTGGACACCATTTGTTGTGGGTAGGATAGTATTTTATCTCTACTGTTGGTGCGTGTTGACTCGTTTTGGAATGTGGTAGAGCCAATAGGTAATGATATATGTGTTTACATACGTGGGATCGTTGAAGACAATGATCTGTCTGAGTGGTGTTTATGGTAGTGGAGTCTCTGGCCTGAGAAAGGCATAAAAGGCAGTGTGCATGGCTGGTAATGGCCAACTTGGTAGTATAATTGAATGGTTGTAGCTCTAATAGGTCCGATAAGGATGGAAAAGTTGGATGGCTATTGGTAATATCTGAGAGGAACGTGGGGGATGGATTCCTGAAAACCTCTGAGTATATTCTTGTCTGGTATGATAGCATGAAGTTATGGTAGTTTGGCCATAGGTTATCCTGTGTTGTTGAATGCCTGTAAAATATATAATTAATGGTGTGTGAGATGGTTTTAGTTTAAGGTGGCAAAAAATGAAGCAAAACCTAGGAGAAATGTTATGACACAGGTTGAGCTATGTCGTGTTCCAATGAGATTCTTTAAAGCCAGGTGAATAGGTGTTATGCATTCTACAAGTATGGGATGAAAGTGCTAGGTGGGATAGTGCATGCTATGCTGCATGAGTATGTCTAATCCATGATTTTGTCTCTGGAACGAAAGAGTGGCCGTGACTGTATAGGCGGCTGTAGGAAGCGTATGATGAACGTGCCTGGAATGTAAATGAGACAATTGTTGGCAAGGATGTATACCCCCGCCTGGTACATGAAAGTAAAATAAATGTGGTAAGTGGCCAACCAAGTGAGTTCCCCAGCAATACCATGATCGTATGGATGAAGAGTGGCATTTGTTGATGATATGACATGTGCTTAGTTGTCTGAGTAACAACAGATTGATGACCCTGATCATGATTTACCCCATGCCACAGCAGCTGCTTTTAGCTGGGATAGGATTGCCCATTTTATGCCATGTAAGTGCCAGTTTGTAGGGTAGATGGTAGCCGTTTACTGTGTTGATGATATTGGTCTTACTTAACGAAGCTTCAACCCATGCTTGAGTGATAGCTGTAAAGGTAGATCAATGGTGTGTATAGTAAGGAAACTCCTCGGAGGGTATGAGGGAGTTGAGACTTGGGGTAGCGAAGGTGTGTGGTGCCAATAAGTCTATGGTTAGTCTTGTTTAAGGGAAGATTCCCTTGTGACAATACCAATGCGTTTGTGTTTGGTGCCATGCTGTAAATGGTGGAGATTGGAAAACCCAAGTAAAAACCCCTCTGCAAATCTTGGCTATGAGTGTGTTTACAGCCGACGGTTCTGTTGTGCTGACTGTAAGTGAGGGCATACTATATTCCTTGAGAGTTTATTTATGATACCTGTATGGGAGCCCTTTGAAGCTCCAGAGCCTTAGTAAATCTACTACAAGTCTGGAAGGGTGATGAGTCAGTAGTGTTGAAAATGCATTGGTGTGTACAGATGGTGAGTATGTTATTTGTAAGTTATATTGGGACACATGGTTTGTCATGTGCTCTGAATGATTTAAACATATATGCAACAGTCTATATGCAATGCAACTACTAATACCAATTGTCTCTGGTAGTTCAGAGGTGCTGGTACCTGGAGCCTGAGAGTGCTTGCCCGTTTGTTTGGGAGAAAATCCCTTCTGTATGGGTACCTGCACAAATAAGCATCTCTACATATTCCAAATGCCAACACAACCAAGGGATGGTCAGTTCCCGATTTACCTAGAATCCCTGGGTCTGACCATCATAGATACATCATCATACATATATATGCCTTGTTTCCCCAATGTGCCGGGATCATATGTGCAGGGTTAACGTCTTGTACCAAGTAACCGAGTTTCGGTTGGTGCTGGTTGTACAGTAGCGTGAGGCCCAGCCTTGTGAGGGCTGTGACTGACTCGAGATTGCCAGTCTGTAGTAAATTTTTTGGCTCATGAGTTTATGAGTGAGGCTAGCATGGCCTGGGTGTCACCTGAGTTGGTGTTGCTGGGCCTTCCCCTGCCTCCGTGTTGTCCGTTGATGTATGGAGGAGTTTGAATAACTCTGCTTTCCTTGCTGTGGCAGGGTAGGGGATTTGTCGCCTCCTTAGGTCGGAGCCACATCTCCTCTGCTTGAAGGTGTATCACTTCTAGCCGGGGTGCCAGGAAGAGGTGATTCTTCACCATCTTTTTGAGAAATACTTAAATAACAATAAAGATTGCAATTATTATTTGTACCCAGGGGTCTTGTACTGGCTTGCTAGCTAAGCCGTAAGGCGAAACGATTAGGCTTGGTGTTTTTTGGTGACTGGTGAGGCCCTGCTAGTTGCCAAGTGGCTTGAGAGGCTCTATCTATGCTTGGCGCGAGGGGATTTTGTGTGGCCACCGAACGTTGTGGCAGGATGTTGGCCTCTCGGTGACAGTAACCAGAAAAATAGGAAGGGGAGTGACAGGTGAGGCCCTCTCTATGATACAATGCGAGGCGGCTAGCTCACGAGTGGCCCGAGGGGTGTATGCCTCCGAGTGTGAGGCGGGGTGTTGGCCTCGCGGGACCACTAACCGAAGCATAATGCAGAGAAAAAAGGGGGTAATACCTATTGGGCCCTAGAACCCTAATTGCCAGTACACTATTACTATTCCAGGGAAGGTAAGAGATGGATAACTACGTGAGCAGGTGTATGTACCTGGTAGTATGGTATTGAACCTGACAATCCGTATAGGTTTTTTAGTAGTAACTGTAACCTGAATGGATAAAATCGTATGGCATAAGGAAATATGGCATAGACCAAGCTTATCTTAAAACATACAGTATATGTGAAAGTAAAGTGCCGTGATATGTAAATATTAAACATCATATCCATACTGGTTAAATATGTATCAATCTTAACCCATTAAGTGCCGTATGTAAGTGAACCATATTACCAGTTACGTATATACAGATGCGTGTGCTACTGTGTAATAATATGTGTATTTATAACAGATATTGATATACTGCTTGCTATGTGAATTGTTGTATGCCTTATTGAATGGCAAGTGAACATGGAGTTGCAAAATGCAAGAGCACTGGAGATCTGCCAGTGCCCTATAGGTGGCAGTGTAGTTGATACTGATTGGTATGTGAAATGTTGTTTGTCTGTTGACCTATAGGGGTCAGTGTTTTGGTGTTTGTAAAACCCCATGAAAATTGTCAATGTACTTGACAGACCTGTAGGTGGCAGTGTTGATAGAACCACTGTTAGTCTTAATGTGAAATGTAAATTATTGTGAATTAAACCTGAAGTTGAGCCCGTGTTGGAGTTTAATTCATGGTTTATGGTTATGTTTAAAACAATCTTATGTGTAATTTATATTGGCTGGTAATTGTATATGACATGTGAAGACAGTTTTGCTGTTGACCAGTAGGGGTCAGAAATGCTGATTGTATGGTAAAATACCCTTTAACCCCTGAAGGATACATGACATGTGTGACATATCATGATTCCCTTTATTCCAGAGTTTGGTCCTTAAGGGGTTAATCCAAATGCAAGGTTAACGTGAGATTTTGAGAGTGACCTGTAGGGGTCAGTGTGGTTTATGTGAAACAGTTTGTGAGCTATGCCCCAGCATTATAGTTGTGTGACAGGGAAACAAACAGTGCCCGTTTGACAATACACAATAGGTGAACATAATAGCTTAATAACAGTCATTGTAACAAACCAAAGTTCTGTTCATGGGTTGTAAACGCACGAAGCGTGTGTGTAGTACAATAGTAAATGCATGAACTAGTACCCGTTTGGTAGAAAATTGCACGAACCGTGAGCCTGGTATGTCAGGGAAACAAAACGAAACGATCAGTGAGATTCGAAATGCACACACAGAATTGCCTAGTATGTTTAGGCAATTGAAACGGAATGTGTTCACGTTCGGGAGTACGCTAATGCTCGAAATGAGCCAGTGACAGATATAAACAAGTGAATTTAAACTAATGATATGCATGAACATCCAATGGTTTTAGGACAGATTTAGACAAAATGCAGCCGTAAAGTGAGGACCTGACCCGTGCATGGTGCCGTGGGACTGATGCCTGGCGTAACGGGTAGGTCGACTTACGGTTTGTGAGTCACTTGGACACCATCCACAGCGATAGATTGAAGAAAGAATGTGGAAGGCCGGAAAAGCCTGTGGCTGAATTCCTGACACAGCTCAGCTTAGAAAACCTCATGGAGTAATCAGGTAAAATGGTGTCTGGATGACCCGGAAGTGGAAATCATTCTGATGCTGACCTCAAGCGATATGAGTCAGGTAAGGGGTGTCCCTTATATAGGGGAGTGAATTAATTTAAGCCCCTCCCACAAATACAGGCCAAATGGCCTTAAAACATATATATATTTTCCCAGGTCCCAGCACTCAATGTTCCCGGTCTTTTCCATGCTCCGGTGCAAGTAATCTCTGACCAATATATAGCATCCAAGGAGAGTGCTCTCTACTTGGATGAGATAGATTATATATATATATATATATATATATAAATATAAAAATACCGGCACTCTAGGTCTTCCAAAATAGCTTTTTTATTCTCTGTCAATCCAGGGGGTCTATGTTTCAGCTCCTGTTCGGAACTTTCATCAGGACACATAAAACTTTTTTATGTGTCCTGATGAAAGCTCAGAACGGGAGCTGAAACGTTGACCCCCTGGATTGACAGAGAATAAAAGAGCGATTTTGGAAGACCTAGAGTGCCGGTATTTTTTTAATTTTTATGTTATAAGTGTGACTTGGCACCAGGCTTTGTTATCTGAACGTTGGAGTGCAGGAATTCTGATTTATATATATATATATATATATATATATATATGTATATATATATATATATATATATATATATATATATATATACACACACACACACACACACACACACACACACACACACACACACACAAGTATAGTGGCACTCACCCTTTCAATGAATCAGTAAAAGACTGCCTTGGTGCAATCCCACGCTGGATATGTAAAGCAAAAAGGAAAGAGATGCACTCTCAGGTCTTTGTAGAAAAAAACTCGATATTATTTAATAACAGGTAACATACATTTGATCGACGTTTCGACCTCTTCAGGTCTTCCTCAAGAGGTCGAAACGTCGATCAAATGTATGTTACCTGTTATTAAATAATATCGAGTTTTTTTCTACAAAGACCTGAGAGTGCATCTCTTTCCTTTTTGCTTTATATATATATATATATATATATATATATATATATATATATATATATACACACACATACACATACACACACTGCAGCAATAAAACAAAAGGAGAACCAAGGGGGATTTAGTTGTGTTACACTATTTAATTTATTTGTTAAAAGAATAAAATAAAAGTCTAACATATGTAATGCATTCATCTCAAATATCCATATAGTTTCTACCTTGCCCAATTCCTTATGTATAATTCCCCATATCTAATTAACTTTCCATAGCTAAAAAGTGTGTTCCTGGACTAGGTGCACTGTGCCCAGGTGACAGAGGGTGGGACACAAGGAGCACGCTAATGTCCTATATAGATTACCTGCAGTGTGCACTGTGGGTTTCCCATTTTTCTTTTAGACCCAGCATCGATATATAAGAACCATTATTTGGAAGCAGCATCATCTTTGGACTTTTTATAGACTGTTATTGCTATGTATGATAATGTTTTATTATCATTGCTGTTTCCAGAGATATATCTATTTATTTATGGTTCTTTTCTTATCCTCATGTTTTACTCTATTTACTTATTTTTTGTCTTAATAGATGTTAGTTTTAGATTTATTCTCTTCGATTAGCTCCAGGTCTGTTTACTTATCATATTATTGGTTCGTCTTTAACCAGTCTTGTTACTTACTGGTTGCTTAGCACAGTGGAGCTTAACTCGAGTCAAGCAATTCAGTCTTTCAATTGCAATTGCACAAAACAACTGCCTTCTTTGAGCTTAATTGGACAGCCACGGAAAGTCAGGGCTGGGTTAGAAGAGGAGGACTTGCAAAGGCTTCGGAAAAGAGATCTGCAGCATTTGCAAGCTGTTTTTAGAAATGCCCCAAATGAAAAAATGCATAATTAAACATGTGAATGTTTTCACTGGGGTATATCTTAAATACGGTGCTTTTTATTTTATTTTTTTTATCTGGCAGTGGACTGTCTCTTTGAGCTAAATTTGGGTGTTAAAGCTCTAAATACTGTACATTTTACAGATAGGTTACACATAAAGAGTCATTCCAACATAATGTTCTAAAACTGTTGCAGTCACCATGGAAACCAAAACATTTTGTCTTGATCGGTCTACTTTTAGACATCTGCTCAAGAAGATTCCTTTATAGATAGTCAACCATGGCCGTTCCTGGACTGGTGCCTCATGCCCAGGCGCCAGAGGATGGGGGAGCGACACAAGGAGCGCACTGATGTCCAGTGACTGGGGGCCCAGGAGGTCATCGGCTGACCACTGTAGGGTGCACCTTAAGTGGCAGCTTATTCACAAAGGCAGAGTAGACATCTGCTCACCTGTACGACAGGTACCTACTCTGCCAAAATATAGTGGCGGAGCCCACACACTAAAGGGGGCAAATGAACTTAGGGCCACCCGGTGGACGTGTCAGCAGAGTCCTGGTTGAGTGCTGTGGCCCTTTAACAGCACGACCTGGCCCCCTTCTAATCGGCAGTACTAGGAGAAAGTGACAGCCGATCACGTCCTCTTTGAGACACTGGAGTTATGTGAGGAAAGAAGAATGCAAAGAGGAGGGGGTCTAGGACGAGAGAGACAGTGTGTGTGTTTGTCACTGTGTGACTGTGTGTATCTGGATGTTTGTCACTGTGTATGTCTGTGTATAAGTGTGTGTGTCTGTGTATTTATATGTCTGTCAGTGTGTGTAAGTATAGGTTGTAAAGAACTGAAAATTGTCATTTGTTGTGTTGTGCATATTTACTGAAATCAAAAGCAATTTCAATCAAACTTATAACAACATTTTAACAGGTCACGTTACATTTTAACATAGGACCCGTTATTTGATAGCAGCTTCACAAGTCTTGCATCCATTGAACTTGTGAGTTTTTGGACAGTTTCTGCTTGAATTTGTTTGCAAGATGTCAGAATAGCCTCCCAGAGCTGCTGTTTGGATGTAAACTACCTCCCACCCTCATAGATCTTTTGCTTGAGGATGCTCCAAAGGTTATCAATAGGATTGAGGTCAGGGGAGGATGGAGGCCACACCATGACTTTCTCTCCTTTTATCCCCATCACAGCCATTGATGCTGAGGTATTCTTTGCAGCATGAGATGGTGCATTGTCATGCATGAAGATGATTTTATTACGGAAAGCATTGTTTTTTCCTTCTGTACCAGGGAAGAATGTGGTCAGTCAGTAACTCCACATACTTTGCAGAGATCATCTTTACACCTTTGGGGACCCTAAAGGGGCCAACCAGCTCTCTTCCCATGATTCCGGCCCAAAACATGACTCCACCACCGCCTTGCTGAAGTCGCAGCCTTGTTGGAACAGGGTGGCCGTCCACCAACCATCCACTACTCCATCCATCTGGAAAATCCAGGGTTGCACGGCACTCATCAGTGAACAGGACTGTTTGAAAATTGTGAGTATTGGTTAGTGGTGGCCGAATAGAAGGTTTATGCACAGTTGCAAGGCTCTGGAGGACTCTACACCTTGATGTCCATGGGACTCCAAAGGCACCAGCAGCTTCAAATATCTGTTTGCTGCTATGTAATGGTTTTTTAGCAGCTGCTCTCTTGATTCGATGCATGGATCTGTCAGAAATCTTCATCAATGTGCCTTTATCTGCACTAACCCATCTGTGCTCTGAATCAGCCACAAAGCTCTTAATAGTGCGATGATCATGCTTAAGTTTTCGTGAAATATCTAATGTTTTCATACCTCGTCCAAGGCATTGAACTATTTCACTCTTTTCAGCAGCAAAGAGATCCTTTTTCTTCCCCATATTGCATGAAAATGGTGCTCTGCTTAATAATTTGGAACAACCTCCTTTAGTAGTTTTTCCTTAAATTGGGCTCACCTGGCAATCTAATTATCACAGGTGTCTGAAATTGTTTTCAGTGATCAAAAGAGCCCTGAGACACAATGCCATCCATGAGTTAAACTGAAAAACAAAATATATAATCTTTGTGAGACTTAAATAGAATTTGCACAATAATTTGGGTGTATATCTATGTGTGGCAGTATGTATCTGTATGCTGTCAGTGTGTGTATCTGTATATCTGCATTTGTGCCAGTGTGTGTTTCTATGTGTCTGTGTATCTGCATGTGTGTCAGTTTTTGTATCTGTTTTTCTGTCTATCTGTATGTGTGTCAGTGTGTGTATCTGTATCCACATGTGTGTGTATTTATCTATCTGTATTTGTGTCAGTGTATATCTGTGTGTCAATGTGCACACCTGTCACGGTTCTCACCGTGACATCCAGACAGCCAGGTGTGGCCGTTCCACAGGTGCCAAAAAGGGGATTTGAACTCTGGACTCTTGCTGTCTTACCTCTGAGCCACACTTCAGTTCATGTTTCTGCCTGTTGTCCTATCCTGCCTTGTCTGCAGCACTAGGGGGCTGGACTTTACCTGTGGCTGCTCCTGTGAGGAAAAAAGTTTATTAGCAAGGTATTTAAACCTGGCTAACCATGAGAACATTGTCAGTTCTTTGATTCTGGTGATCGTGTGTTGTTCCTGTTTTGTCTCCTGATACTTGTTCTCCAGATTGACCCCAGCACCTGACCTTGGCTTTCCTCTTTGTTTATCCTGACCTCTGGCATCCTCTGACTTTGGCTTATCCTCGATGATCCTTCTGCTTGTGTCCTTGTCTGTACTGCGAATTGGAGGACCATGAAAGCACAGCCCCGGTGCACAGATTCACGGTCCTGGTGGTTTCTAACCTTATCACCTTGGACTGTGTATATCTGCAAGGGTGAGCACAAATCTCTGCCTACTGGACTGCCATCTCAGGTAAGCTGTGACAATATCTGTGTGTATGCTATTAGTATGTGTATCTGTATGTGTGTCAATTATGGTATATCTGTGTGTCAGTGTATATATCTGTGTGTCTGCATATCTGTATGTGTGTCAGTGTGTGTATCTCTGTGTGTGGCAGTGTATGTGTTATACATTTCAGCATTCAAACACCAACACTACATACAAACATACCCTTGCATTCAAATGTCAGCATTACAAAAAACACCTGTAAAAAAACCTCTGTATTAAAAACCAAAGTTATATATAAACACACCACTGCATTAAAAAACTACACTACACACAGATGCCCACTTGCATTCAAACGGCAACACTACATTCAACATACTCCATACAAAAAACATACTTACATTCAAAGATACAAACATTTGTAAAGGGGAGGAGTAAGCAATATGGCCATGCCCAACTGGGGACGCCAAACAAAATGTCTGCACCCAGGCATCCGTAAGCCTAGGATCAGCTCTGTAGTCAACAATGTCTGAAATATATGAGCCGTTTTAATACTTTTATTCTAATAGCTAAAACAAACAAAAAAATATAAGATACATGAAAGCCATTAAAAATGAAAAATCCATGCATAGCATTTGCAATTATGTTAGAAAAATAAGTGCTTTGAAATGATGTTGGTGCACTCTGGCTTTGTCCAAATTGTGGCGTGGCATGGAATTAGGCAAGATCTCCATCATAGGAACAGTGAAAGCTATGTCTGTATTAAAGAACAATAAACAGTCATGCTGCAGAGTTTAAAAAGAAAGATCTATTGTAAAAGCTGTGAAAAACAATATCTTTCTGGAAACGTGATAAATAGGAAAGTCAAGTCACAGAGTTCAGAAATAAAGCTCTTTCAAGTCAGTAACCATCTACTAGAAGAAGAAAAACAGGCACTGCAGAAATAAATTGCTTCTAAACTCAAATTGTATCATGAAATGGATCAGAAGGACCAAGAGGTGGAACTACTTCAGCAAAATAAAAGTCTTAGACTGATAAGTGACTTCTAAAAATCTCCCTTAAAGACATAGGAACAAAATGCGTTTTCTGCCAGCTTTTAAAGAATATGGTATAATATGTTAGTGATGTCAACAGATACAAACTGCGAGAGGAGATTAAATAGGATCTGTCACCAGTCACAGGGTTAAAGTGTATAATGATGACATCCATTCAGGGAGAGTGACATCCCTGGAGGAGAATCACGCTGTTGGGAGAACTTGGCAAGTAAGAGCTATATTCTTCTTTTTTTACCGGAGCGGGGTCAGAGTAGTAAGAGTTACTCTTAGCTTGAGTCAGTGTTTCATTAAAACACTGTTTTTTGGTTGGAGTAACCCTTTAACGTTTTGTAGTACTGAGTGATGTGTAATTAACATTTAGAAAGGAAATTTACAAGATAAATCTCTCCTCAGGGACGCATTGTTAGTAGTTTACTATTTCACCACAACCAATAGATTTATTTTAGTTTTATTATGATAAGTGGAGTCATAAGTGCCCTGATGGATCACCCACCCCTGGTAGGAAGCAGTGTGTCACAATCCATCAACATACAAAAATGCTTAGAGTTTAAAAGTCCTGTAAGACCAACATTTACACATTATGTGCCTATTAATGTTTCTCTTATATCTTATCTTCTTTAGTCCTGGGCTAAAGTAGTGAACATTACACTCTTACACTGTACATAGCTGATACTATTTTTTTTTCCACCAAATAAAGAGTGGGGTTGTTTTGACACCCCTAAAAATCCTTCCAAACATTTACAGTAAACTAGTCAAGTTAAAAACCTCCATCTATTGTTGCAAAGAAGTATTTATTGTTATCTTTAGATTTAGATACATTGAATCTCACAAAACAAGAACTATGACAGCTGGTATCAATCCTTAAATAATATTTATGCTGTAAAATGTATTCCAAGCAAATAAAAGTAAAAGTGTCTGGTTAAAGTGGCACTGTACTTACCCAGTCCTCGTGATGGTAGGGGTCCTCCGCTTGAGCTGCATGCGGCTCAAATACTCCTGGCATACCGTGTGCGCCGAACATTCTGGCCCTTGGCCTATACAGTATTAAGAACACTGCTCGCATCACAAGCACATTCTTAAAGGGTGTCACGTCCTGTTTCTGTCTGCAGATCATTTCTGGCCTTGGCTTCTGATATCCAGTACTTTTTTGATGATTCTTGTTTAGTTTTTCTTGTTTTCTATTTTATGTCTGGTTTTCTTTATGCTGGGTTTTCTGGGTTCATTCCTTTATTCCATTCCTGGAATTCCCAGTCTCCTGGATTCCTTGAAATGTTTGTTTTTTGTTGCCACACCAGTTCCTTTGCCATTTATCCTTTTTTGTTCCTGCAAGCAGTGGTCTCATCCCTCTGCTCCTTTCCTTGCAGGTAAGTACTGTGTGTGTTTTATTGTTGTACTTTTAGTCATGCATATCTAGGCAGTTAGGACCCATCGTAATTGGAGTACTTTGGCGCAGTGGTGGGCTGCATACATCTTGGCCATTTATGTATGTCTAAATCTCCAATGTTTAATACATATATAGTACTTGGTTATTTCTCCTCTTGTTTTGACTTGCATCTCTTGTCTTGTTTTATTTTGACTTGTACTCTTAGTTCATGTACAGTCATGTCCTGTTCTTGTTTCCCTCATGTCTTGTGTACGTGTTCTGGGTTCTGCTTTCTGTCATGCTCCGGTTCTGGGTTCTTCTAGTCTTGTTAGCTTGTTTGGTGCCTATTCTAGTCTTGCCATGTTTCTAGTACTGGATACATATCTGCATATTATCAAGCTCCTGGGATCCGCAGAAGCTGCATTAGGGCTTGTATGTGGCCGCAAAAACCCTGGTGCTCAACACCAGGGGGCGTGTGGTTACCCTGCACCAGGCCCTGATTGTTTATTTCCACGCTGTAACTCCTACCTTTATCAGGTATACCTGGGTCCCGGTCTCCAGACCGCCACCTGTGACAAAGGGGAAATGGGAGCCTAACCTCATGGTCGGCTTCCATTGGCCCACGTCAGTCCAGCGCCGCCATTCAGGCACGTTTTGGCATGGACTAATCAAATGAAACCCAGTAGTATTTAAACTTATCTTGCCCTAGATACTGTGCCCTATTGTGGCTTCTGTTCCCAGTACCCTTTAGTGCGTTCCTTGAGTTAGTGTATTTTGGTACTGACCTTGGATTTGTTTCCTGACTCTGAGTTTCTCTTTCACCCTTGCCTGTCTTGTTTGCCCATCTAACTGAATACCGTGTACCTGACACTGACTAAGTTCTCGTTTTCGCTGTTTCTTCATTACCCTGACCATGGCTTGTATTGTGACTACCCTTTACTCTCTGTCTAACATTAAGTCCGGCCTGGTAATATGTTTATTTTCTTTGTCTGTCCCTTGCTACTCTAAACTCTGAGTGTTAGTGTTCTACCTCATGACATTGGGGACCTTGCCTAAATCTCAAAGTACCCCAATGTTGCCTTTGCCGTGGGTGGTCTGGTGGCCAAAGGGGGCAGCTAAAGGTGTTTACTTACCTGAACCTGTGCATTGTGATCGCCACCATGTTGGTCCGTCACAGGCCTCCTCAGTGCTGACGTCACTTCTGTACTCTTGTGCATGCGAGAGTAGAGCATTGAGATCTATGGGGGATCCCATGAGACCATGGGATTCTCTATAGATACAGCCAATTCTCTGCAGCTGTCACTGTTGGTGGCTGCAGGGATTGGCACTTAGACTCCGTCTTGTGTCAAAAACAGTCAGGCGGAGGAGTTATACAAAACAAAGTAGTTATTTTGTCTCTGTATATCTCCTGACTGGGTTGGAATTTAAGTGAAATTTCAACACAGTCACAATGAGTATTTCATAAAGATTATTTTTGTGAATTACTCATTTTCATGGGGGGGAGGGCTGACAGTGCCGCTTTATATTCTTGCCCTGGTTTTGTCAATGCATGAAGAGTCAACAAAGGCATTTTATAACAGATTTTCTCCAAATGTTTTAACTGGACAATATTCAGTTCATGTGAACAGTAAAGGCTTTAACCAGATATTGTGCAAGTGTCTCCCTATAAACAAGCACCTAATCCTACACTTAGTTATTTGATTCAAGAGAAACCTTAAGGGTATTTTCTCATAAAACACAATTAGTTTTTTTCTGTCAACAATTAGATTAAATAGTAGAGAGAGAACGCATATGGAGTTTTGTTATAGCGCAAAAGCTGGGTTTTAGACTACATAGAGAAGATATTGCTTACCATCACCAGTAATATTATAACAATAGAACTTTAAGCCTCTGGCAGTAAATAAAGTGTGAGCCCCCATAAAAAATGAAAATTAGAAGGGATTTTTCTTTTTTAGAGGCCTTAAGCACAGCAATTAGATTTGCGAAGGAAACTTTCAACGAGGGATATTAGATGTGTAAAATGTGCATTTTCATCTCAAGGAGGAAAGAAAGACTAATCCTTTTTTTTTTTTTTGTCCTTTTAGATTTTTTGGGGGGGTATCACATAGTGTATATGAGTACATTTTTAAAGGAGGATAAAATTAAAAGTAACCACTTCTGCACTTTAGAGATATGCATATATCCCAGAGCATTAACTCCAGAGAGCACATAGCTCACGCCAGTCCAGACATTCAATTATATGCATATTCTGCATTACATGAAAAAACTTTGAAGAACATTGATTAAAATATTATTTCTTGAACGAACTCTGATCTGCATAATATGACAATGTTCCATACAAATCCTGTTCTTTTGTTCAGCTATACAAAGTAACACTTATAAGGCTTGTAAATCTACAGATGAGGAATTGAGGAGGATTTTATTGTTGGTCTGGGTTCCTGATGGCTAAGTGTCACGGGTGGCGGTCCGGTGCCCGGGACCCAGACACTGTCCGGGCGGCGGTGCGTGGACCGGGACCCATTATGCCTGATGTTGAGAGTAGGAGTCACAGTGTGGAGGTGGATTAGCAGGTTCTAGTGCAAGGTAACCGCACGCCCCCTGGTGTTGAGCACCAGCGTTTGTGCAGCCACAACCAGAACCCTGAATCAGCTTATGCGGATCCCAGGAACTAGGAGCAGGTAATTAAGCAGACCTCCCAGGAGCTGAATAGGGAGGCTCTGCAGCAGGGATGTATCCAGTACTGAAGTAAAGCAAGACTAGGAGAGCAAGGCACCATACAAGAAAACAAGACCAAACTAGGAGAACAAGGAAAGACTAGAGATAGGCACCATGCATGAAAACAAGACAAAACTAGGAGAACCCAGAACCAGAGCAGGACAGAAAGCAGAACCCAGAACATGTACACAATACATAAGGGAACATTAACTAAACAGGGGCAGGACAGGACTGTACATGGACTGGGATTACCAGACAAAGTAAGACAAGAGATACAAGGTAAAACAAGAGGAAACATAGCTAAACACTAATTATGAAAAGTATGGGGATTTAGTCACATTATATGATCATACATTGCACAAGCCTGCCAACAACGCCAATGTACCCCATATCTGGCAGGTCCTACACTGCCTAATGCATACTAAAACAACCACACTATACCACAATAGCACTTACCTGCAAGAAAGGGCAGAGAGATGAAATACTGCTGCAGGTCCAGGCAGAAACAAAAGGAAAGTGGAAACAAGCGGGTGTGGCAACATAAAACAAACATTTAAGTGAATCCAAGAGACTGGGAAATCCAGGGACAGAATATAGGAATGAACTCAGAAACCCAGCAACAAAGAAAACCAGACATAGACTAGAAAACCAGAAAAACCAAGCAAGGACAGCAAAAAGAGTACTGGATACCAGAAGCCAATGCAGGAAAGATCTGCAGCGAGGAACAGAACGTGACACTAAGATCTCAAAGGTATGATTGTCACCTGCTCCCTCTGCTCCAATTATCCATCGTGCCTCTGTTCCAATTCTACACTGGTGTGCCTCTGTTACTGATCTAACTCTGCATCAACATGCAACTATTACTGCCCCATTTCTGCAATGGTGTGCCACACTGTCATCATTTCTGGCATGAATAACTCCATTATGGGAGTTGTGCCAAACTGGCACAATTACTGCACCATACCTACGTAAAAAAGTGACATGTTTTGGTGTTGCTTCTCTGACATCAACCAATGATATTTCGATACATGCTATTAAAGCTTACACCAAAACTTAGTTATTCCTGGGTCTTTGTCTTCTGTTACCTGCGAATTATATTAGTGTTCGTTTTCTGTTTTTTACTCTGTCTTGAATCTTGAGACTACTGACTTTTCACTGACCTATTTCCCTGACCTTAATTTGTGCAAATGGCCAATTAATGCTATTGTGTAACTTACAGAATTACCCATGGGTCCTATGTACATTTTGCAGGAAAGCACATGTTTTGAAGCACATGTTTTAGTTTTCCTGATGCTCCCAGGTAAACTAAGGTATTTCCTAGTGAATTCTGTCTACTAATCCTAAATATCTGTACACATCAGCCTTTTGCTAGCTCAACTATGCCATAACTTGACCTTCTTTTATCTCAAATCAATTTATTTTACAGATCTAAAACAAAAACATTCAATCCATAGTGAATATTGTAGTTGTAATTGTAATGCATGTTGTATTTGAAGATTACCGAATGAGTCTAAAATATTTGCACCTTGTCCAAGGATATAGCATAAAGATACCATACCTGACTGTTACACATTAAAACCCACTATGCACAATGTTGCTAAGAAATGTTTGCTAAGAAATATGTTGTGTCTACAGGGTCATCTCAAAAATCAGCTTCACTTAGATCTATACCAAGAGCAATAAGCTACATTTCTGGGCCTACAATGGGTCTACAGCATTATTCATCTAGTGTTTTTTTTTCTGTCCATATTTCCTCTGTCCAATCATGATTCTAATTATGAATCCATCAGACTCTAAGTAGTTATTGCAGATTTAAATTATTTCTTCCTATAAATGTGTATAGTCTCTTAGGCTCCACTTAGTCTGGCATAAGAAGCTAATGCAGAATGGCATCATTCATCAAAGAGTTCCACGCAAACGTTCCCCCAGGCAGGATGACAGCTGTGCTTGTGCTGTGACACCACGCGTGCCTCTAACAATACTTTCTGATATTGCTGTGAGGTGATGGCTTTTGCAATTTGTTATAACAATAAACAAATTTAAATGAAAGCAAGAAAAAAATGGATAACAGGGTTATCACATGTTTTTTCTCCTTCATAAGATCACATATTATACTAAAATTGACAGTGCTGGTACACAGCATTAGAGAAAATTAAGGCAGAGCATGTCTAAATGACATGTGTGCAGAAAGGCAGGGGTTAGCCATACACAATGGAAAACACTACATCCTGTGCTCAGACCATACATGAAGATCATTGTCACAGCTGCCTGCTTGTTAACATAAATCTCCTCGACACAGCCTGTGCTCGTTTGTTGCAGTGGATCCGCAAAAAAATATTTCTGAGGTGACATGATAAACAAAGGTAGAACGCAGCCACAAATTACACACTCATATCTTTCACACAGAAGGACATCATTGCTTATTCTGGGACATTACGGCAAAATGTATTTTTCTTTTTGTTAATAAACATTTTCTTTATTTGAAATAACATTACATTCATTATTTGTCAAGACATAACAGTATTCCAATAAAAAACTAGTAGTTTCCGTATTACAACCGTATCATTGACAAATTATACATACAAAAATTACACATATAGATCTCTAAGAGATAAAGGCTGGAGCAATTAAGGGGGTCTAACTTTTTAATCCAAAATAACCACATTCTAACCATATTTGAGTTCCAATTCTCTGTTCTTGCACAGTCTAACTCCATTTTACATTGCCAAATAATCTGTTCATATAATCCGTCACACTGAAGCAAATTGGCAGTTTTCCATTTCCTAGCAACCATTAATTTGACTGCTGTAAGAATGTGAAAGATTATAGTGAGAGATTTTTTATGCACAGTATTGAGATTAGAGTGTAACAACGCTACCTCTAGAGATCTGTCTATCTCTATATCACAAAGCATTTTTATAAACAGAAAGACCTCTTCCCAAAAAGGAATTATCAGATGACAAGTCCACCATATGTCAAAAAATGTACCTAGGTACATAACACATCTCTAGCACTTTGTATCTGGATTTACGCAGTTCTTTAATTTGGCTAATGTACTTGGTACCCAATACCTACTATTGGGAATCTTGTGTTCTATCAAAGCATGAATATGTTTTATAAGTTAATACTAGAGAAGACATCCATTCATGAGAGTATAGTTCTAGAACTAGATCTTGTTGCCATTTTCTTTTTGCAGTATCATCATTGCCTTCGCTCATCTTTGATAGTATTTGTACACATTTTGAGATGTATCTTTTAAAATTAGATTGACTTATATAGCGATTCTAAATATTCCGCTGCCTCTGAATTACTACTTAGGAGATACTTAGAAATTATACCACTTATTCTTAAATAATTAAATAATTGTCTCACTAGTAGATTTTGTTTCACTAACCAATGTAGAGAATGGTTTGACCTTATTTACAGTAATTATATCTTTTATGTTATATATTCCACAACTATACGAGTTATTTATATTTATATTATCGATATTTCCTTCAAGAATTTTTAAAGGTTAGGAACCCAGCAGTTTTTTTTGTTACATTTAGTTTTTTCTTTATATGATTCTATTTGTCCAATATATCCAATCGAGATTTTAGTTCTGAAGAACTGTTTTGACTTTCTCTCTGCAATCCTAATGACCAGAATAGAGATGGTAGGTTCTTATTTGAGGATAGATCTTGTTCTATTAGAAATCACTTCTCTTTTTGGGAACAACTTTTCTGTGTAGTCATGGCATGTATAAGTCTACTAGATTTATAATATTTTAAAATATCTGGCATGCTCATGCCACCTTGTTTAGTGTTTAAGTTAATAATTTCCATTTTATCCTGGGTTTCTTCCCAGACCATATACATTTTAAAAAATAGAGAGTGACTTATTTTAAGCCAATATTCTGAGCATTTTAAAGGAATTAACCTGAAGAAATAGTTCCAACTAGATTAAGTGTAAGCATGTACTAAATTTATCCTTCCCCATCAAGAGAAATTCAGCCTTTCCAACTAATCAATTTTTTTATTCGATTGGTGTATTAAAAGCAAAAAATTATTTTCAACAAGAGAGTTTAAATTAGTGGTATTAATTCCCAAGTATTTAATTTGATGAGCCCAGGTCAGACCATATTATTTCGTATACACTTCCACCACTTTTGTTTGCAACTTTTTAGTTCAAAATACTGATTTATCTAGATTAATTTTGTGGCCTGAATTAGCATATAAATCTATTTCTAAAATGAATGCTTTCAATCAATGTTCAGGGTCTTCTAAAGTTAATAGTAGATCATCTGCATATAAGTTCAGTTTACTTTTACTGTTAGCTGTATAGAAACCCTTAATGTGCTGGTTTATTCGAATATTAATTGCTATTGGTTCTAATGCAAGGATATGCAACAAGGGTGAAAGAGGACACCCTTAATGTGTCACATTTTTTATTAATTTATTTATAAAATGTTTTACCAGGATGGATACATTGTACAATATAAATACAAAAATACAATATACTAAATATATATATATATATATATATAAATATATATATATATATATATATATATAAACATTAATACATAACAGGTAATAAATATATTCAACTATGACAGGTGCATTCTGTGCTGAGGATCTATTGCCATAGATTTCTTAAAAGATTTTAGATTGAATGAAGATTTGACTGTGTCCTTGAGGTTATTCCCTTGTGGTGCTCTGTAGGAAAAGGAGGATCGAGACACTTTATTTTTGTATTGCGGTATGCTAAATATCGTGCTAGTACTGAATCGGAGTTCATAGGAGGTGGGAACAGTTGGAGAGAGCATTATACTCAGCTAGGGTGGGAGCTTCTCAGAAACGCTCTTATGCACAAGGCTGGAGAGATGAGCCAGTTTAGCTCTTTTAACATGTCACAATGGTGGGTAAAGTAATTAAATTTTAGTACAAAGCAAAAGAACAAATTATATATCGTATTAAGTTTATATAGGTGGGTTTGCAGTGCGTGTGTATTCACTACATTCCCATAATCAATGACCGGCATTGGCATTTGTCGCACTATCCGTTTCCCTACTGTAGGGCTTAGGCAGGATTTGTTTCTGTACAGGGCACCTAGTTTTGGGTAAAGTTTTGAAGAGATGTTTTCAATGTGAAGGCCAAAGGATAGATTGGGGTCTAGCAACATACCTAGATATTTAAAAGAGCAGACTGCTGTCAGTGTGCTATTTGAATTTGTTCTGATACGCAGTTGTTGATTTTGTAGTTTACATAATTTAGGTACAGTTCCAAAGATCATTGTAATGGTTTTGTCAGTGTTCAGGAAGAATTTGTTATCCGCTATCCACTTTTCTACCTCTGTGAATTGGATTTGGAGCAGAGCCTCAAGCTGCGGTAGCTTGGGTTTACTAGCGTAGATTCCAGTGTTGTCTGCATACATGTGTACAGTTGAGGATTTGCAGATAATTTATAAATAATGTGAATAGCAGGGGGCTGAGTATGGAGCCTAGGGGAACACCACACGTGACTAGAAGAGGGAGGGAAGCGCTTTCAGAAATGGCCACATATTGCAATCGGTCTGAAACATACATTTTAAACCAGGTTAGCGGATGATCACCAATGCCTGAGTTTTTATGTTTTTTTCAAAAGAATGCCATGGTCTACTGTGTCAAAGGCCTTGGCAAAATCAAGGGAAATAGCTCCAGTTAAATCTCCTTTTGTTACATGCCAATTTGGATGTCATTGCAAACTTTTAAGAGGGGAGTCGAAGTTGAGTAATTTGGATGAAAGCCTGATTGATCAGGTCAGGGGTCAGATAATTTGATCGTTGATAATAATCACTGTCATGTTACATGATATTGTTTTATTATATTGTACTGTTTCTTTAATGTTCATCTTAAGTTTGTCGCTTGGGACACTGCTTAGTTTTCATGCTGCTTCACGTACTCCCGTCCCACTCTCCTGTTGTAGTGTTTTCTATGCTGTACATTCAATGTGACTTGTGGTATCTCTCCTAACCTGTATGGAAGAATCGTTCTTTTACCTGTTGCGACTGCACATTATACAGATCATATGACGAATAAACATCGCTAGATCTTCTTTCATGTGAGTTGTGACTGAGTAAACTATCTGGAAAGGTGATTTGGTATGGATAATCTCATCAGGGCAATGAGCGCCATGTGCTCCTGAAAACCACATTCATAGCCTTTGCAGCCTGTTCAGAATATTCACACAGTTGCGTGTGGATGCATTTTTCCAAGATTTTTGACAATACTGGGAGCAGTGATATCAGGCAATAGTTAGATACCAAAGTATTGTCACCACTTTCATGGATAGGTACAACTTTTGCAGTCTTCCGAAGTTTGGGTATATATCCTGACACCAGGGATTCATTGATAAGGGTAGTGACAGGTTTAGCAATTGCTGGTGCACTGAACTTCAGCAACATTGCTGGGATTTGATCTGGACCACACTGGTTTTTCATTTGTAAATTATTAAGATGTTTATTAACGACACTAACAGACACAGGTCTAAAATTGAATTTCTCTATATGAGGATTTTGAAGATTTGGCAGGGCCTGATCTTTATTTGTGGTCTGAAATGAGTGTCATTTGTTATGTTAACAACCAGGGTGGTAGCACATCCGACAAAATAATTATTAAATGCATTTGCTACATCTAGGGGGTGTTGCAGTGTTTGGCTGTCAATTTTGACAGTGGAGGGTTGGGAGTGGATTGTGGGGGTTTGTATGCTATTTATGATTTTCCAGAAGCTTCTTGGGTTTGATAGGTTGTTGTTCAAATTTTCAAAGAAATATTGTGCCTTTGCTCTTTTTGTTTGTTTTGTGCATGCATTTCGACATTGTCTGTAAGTACAGTGATCATTCATGGAGCCAGTACGCTTGAACTTTGACCACAGTGAATCTCTATAGTGCTACATTTGAATGAGGTCAGCTGTAACTCAGGGCAGGTGTGTCCCTTTTAGTCGCACTTTACGCAGAGGGGCATACAAATTCCAAACACGCAAGAGCTCGGAATTTGTATATATATATATTTGTTAATTTATCAACTTTATTTTAATTTTTATTTCTTTTTAACTTTTTTAGTCAGTTCAGGCAGTCCCCCTGATGGCAGCACTGTGTACACCTATTGCGGCCATGTGACCGCTCTTTTAGAGCAATTTGCAGAGGGGGGACGGTCACCCCTAAGAAGACCAGGGGAATGGCGGTGATCGGTAAGTACATTGGGAGGGAGAGGGAGGGAGGTTAGGGGTATACATATATATATATATATATATATATATATATATGTAGCGTTACTTACCTTAACCGGGGGCCGGTCGCGGTCCTCTCTTCAAGCCGCGCGCGGTCCTGCGGCTGCACGAGCCGCGCGCGGCTCATCCGACTGCTTCAGATGGAAGGCGGGCAGTGACCGCGTGAAGCGCGGTCACGTGTCCCGCCTGAAACTAAGAGCGCGCCGCGAGTCTCGGGCGCGCTCTTAAAGAGACAGTGGGAGCCTAATTGCCAAAAGGCTCCCATTGGCTCCTGTCATACCACACTCCCTGTACAATTACCTATAGGGGGTGTGGAAGTGACAGGAGCCAATCACTTTCGTTTTAAAGCTATTTAAACTTACCTTTTTCCCTTAGCTCGTTGCCCTATCGTGGTTTCTGTTTCAGTTCCCTTTAGCGCTTGTGGTGTTCAGTTGTGTTTTCTCGTATTGACTTTGGCTTCGTATTCTGACTTCGTTTTCGCTTTATCCTTATCTGTACTGTTTGCCGGCTTGCTGTTTTCCGTGTACCAGACCCCGGCTTGTCCTAGTTTACGCTGTCTCTCTGTGCCCTTGACCTCGGTTTGTTCCTGGCTCTGTCTCCTCTCATATACGTCGAGTCCGGCCATTCTAAGGTCCGGTAGACGTATCTCTCCTCTGTATTTGCCTCTGTTTAGCTGGATCCTGCGTGTAGGGGTATATTCTCGTTACAATATATACATATATATGTGTTCTCTGTAATCAAGTGATTCTGTGTGATATAGGATAGAGAGGCAGAAATCCTAATTGGGAGGATCCCTAAAGAATGCCAAAAGGAAGGATAGGCAAGCGGAGACCAAGACAAATTAGGTCCCATTAATTTTCAACTATTCGGAAGAAATAAAGAAAAGGTAGCGTTAGGTAAATTATCAATAAGTATTGGTTTATTCTGCAGGAAGACCCCCTTCTTAATCAGATTATTTCTAACAAACCTGTAATTGTCTATAGATGGACACCAAGTATCAAAACTCATCTTATCAGGAGTAATTTAAACAATTTTTTGGTATATAAACATCCAGAAGTAGCAAGAAAAGAAGGTGCAGGAAGAGAAAGAGCAGGAGAGGGAGAGATCCACATCAGGTATCTTCTCCCTCTCTCGCTGTCTCCCAACCCACTCCCCCCCCCCCAAAAAAACAAAATACATTCTAAATTAGTTTAACAACATTTATATACAAATCTCCTACTGTGTCTATACTTAGAGTGTATAACTCCTGTGCTAATCTTAGACATTAAATCTCACTTCACATCAGATCAATATCTATTTGTGGTTCTGTGATAAACCAAAAATCTTCTTCCATATGTGAAAAAAATTATTTGTGGACCTATGTTTCAATTCTGTGAGATTCCTCTCGTGTCTATCGGTTTCGTTCCTCAACAACACCGTATTTGTATCTCTAACATGTATTAACACCTTACATTCTATATTGCAGGTGAAACTCCCCTTTATCAATTGCTGTGTTTTATATTGTGATACCCGTGTCTTTAAATTATCCCTTGCATAAATAGGTTTTCCTTTCCACTCTTATACTTCATATCCTTCATCTCGTATGTATATCTACATGTGAATACTGCTCTTTCTCTATTTGTAATTATTTTTAAAATTTGTGAACTTTGTATCTTAGTATCTTTTCCTTAGTGAAGAAAAAAAAAATAATTTCTTGCTGCAAAAAAAAAAACATTTAGCTCATTGGTTATTGGGAATGTCCCTTAATATTCTGCTCTTGAATCCACTGTTTTAACTTCCTGGGAGAATCGAACGTCTCTCTTTTTCCATCTCTGCTGCATTGTAGGCTTGTTGGAAACCCCCATGTATATTTTATGTTGTTGTCTCTTAAGATTTTCACAATTGGGGCACTTTCTCTTTTCTGCTGTCTGGTTTGAAAGGAGATTTCTGAGAAGACTTTAATAGACTCATGTGCTGTGTCAATTTGCTGTGCTGTGTCAATTTGTTTCATTTTTCATTAAAGCTGAGGTGATGTTTTGTTTTGTAAGAATGACAACAGACTATAACATCTCTGGGTAGGTATGTTGTTGTATTTGAAGGCTTCTGTTGTCTGTGCATTCTCTCAAATAGCTCAAAAGGATTATTGCTAGGAATATGAAACGCTTCAAGAAATTCCAGGTATTGATTCAGTTGATTGTTTAATAGCGATTCTGGGATGCCTCTTATTCTGAGATTAGATCTTCTGACAGTGCTTGCTAGCCAGCCTCTGTATTAATATAAAAAAAAAAGTCAGTGGGGGTCAATTTGACCCATATATTAGCATAATGGAAATGGAGCCTGTAAAATAATTGGGAGGAACATAATCCCCCCATGTTGCTACCCAATTGGCATCGGGTGGGGGACTTTAAATTGAACAATTGTGGAGGATAGATCACTGTCCACTCCCCTGTCCCCATCTATGTCCAGCAAGTGAGGGCTATTAATAAAATAAAATGGGCATAACACTAATGTCCGTCCCAGCCACACCCATGTTAATAACAACAAGATTAAGGAAGAAGGAGGACCTATTGTGCACCATGATATAACAGCTTACTATCAACGGGACAGCAATAGCTGTTAAATTGCAAGTATTATTACAGCAAACAGCCACTGGCTGCTCATTGTTTAGCAGGCATGCCCCCACGCATGGCATGGTGAGAGTTGGCATGTGGGAGGTATAAAAGTTATTCATACCTTCACCATGCAATCGGTGGCCCTGAATGAGTGGGGGTATGTGGATTAAACAGCTGGCAGTGGATGCTCACTGCAATGGCTGGTTGAACGAATGGTGCCGAATGGAATAAAACATGTTAAAAGTTTCAGAACTTAATTATATAAATTATAAAATCCAAAGGTCATTACTCCATATTAATTCTCCTTGACCTCTCTGCTGCCTTTAACACCGTTGATCATGCTCTCCTCCTTCAAACTCTTCAATCACTCGGTCTCTGTGACTCGGTCCTCTCTTGGTTTTCCTCCTATCTCTCCCAACGCTCATTCAGTGTCTCCTTTTCCAAGGATACCTCCTCCACTCGTCCTGTCTCGGTTGGAGTTCCCCAAGGGTCTGTCCTTGGTCCCCTTCTATTTTCTCTTTATACCGCCTCTCTTGGTAAACTGATTGCCTCTTTTGGATTCCACTACCACCTGTACGCTGATGACACTCAGATATACCTCTCCTCCCCGGACCTCTCCCCTGCTGTCCTGCAACGTGTCACTGCTTGCCTTTCTTCCATCTCTGACTGGATGTCTTCACGCTTTCTGAAACTTAACCTCTCTAAAACTGAACTCCTTGTCTTTCCTCCTCCTAATACTGATCCTCCTCTCTCGCTCTCCCTTCAAGTCAGTGATATCCACATAAGTCCATCCCTGCAAGCGCGCTGTCTTGGCGTCATACTTGACTCTGGTCTCACCTTTGAGTCTCACATCCAGTTTGTTGCCAAGTCCTGTAGGTTCCAACTCAAAAACATAGCCCGCATTCGCCCCTTTCTTACGCAAGATGCTACCAAGGAGCTTGTCCATGCTCTAGTAATTTCCCGCATGGATTACTGTAACCCTCTCCTGATTGGTCTCCCCAAAAGCCGTATTGCCCCGCTACAGTCTGTAATGAATGCTGCAGCTAGACTGATTTTCCTCTCTAGTCGGTCCTCTCACACCTCACCCCTCTGCCGGTCCTTACATTGGCTCCCTGTATGCTATAGGAGTCAATTCAAAGTGCTAACCCATACATTTAAAGCACTGAACAGTTCTAGCCCCGCTTATATCTCTTCACTGATCCATAAATATGCCCCTCCACGTACCCTCCGCTCTGCCCGTGACCACCTCCTGACCGCTGCTCGCACCCGTACGGCCAACTCGCGCTTGCAGGACCTCTCGCGGGCGGCTCCTCTCCTATGGAATAGCTTGCCTACTGCCATCAGACTCTCCCCTAGTCTTCAATCATTTAAGAAGGGCCTTAAAACCCATCTCTTCAGGAAAGCTTATGGCCTCCCAGAGTAATCTCTACCTTACATACCTGTCTCCTGCTCTCTCCTATGGGACAGTGCTTTGCTCTCTCCTCCAGCTCTGCTTCACTCCTACTTGATATTTATTGTCCTAATGTTTCAAATACCCCACCTCCAATAGTCTGTAAGCTCGTTTGAGCAGGGTCCTCTTCAACCTATTGTTCCTGTAAGTTTTCTTGTAATTGTCCTATTTATTGTTACACCCCCCCTCTCAAAATATTGTAAAGCGCTACGGAATCCGTTGGCGCTATATAAATGGCAATAATAATAATAATAATAAAATAGTGTTTACTATGTACACTTGAAAATGCATTTGCTTATGTCAGAAGGGTGCAGTTAGGGCTAGAGTTAGTGTTTGAAAAACATTAGAAAATTAAGGGCAAGAGCTGTGGGTAGCTTATTCTAAGGATTTTAAGATCCAGGAGATGCTCAGTATTAAGAGGATTTCAAGATAGGGAATATCTGCCTTCGAATGTACCAGACTGATCGTGTGCTTGTTGTGCATGCCAAGCAGGTCCCCAATATTTCTGAAGCAGTTAATTGGTTTAGAGATCATTTCAGGATGATCTCAGAAGACAAGAAACAGTTGGCCAAAGGAGACCGTGTGGCATTGGATTACGGGTGAATAAAAACACCTTTGTTTATTATTATTATTTTTTTATTTAACCCCTTCAGGACGGAGTCAATAGTACACGTTCTGATCAAAACAAAAGGTAAACAAAAACTGGAATTTGCGCTATATGTCTGTTCAACCGTTATTCACCTCTTTCATATTAAATGCACCCACACTTATTATATATCATTTTGTTCAGGAGAAACAGGGCTTTCATTTCATATCAAATATTTAGCTATGAAACATAATTTATTATGAATAAAATAAAATAAAAACTCTGAGAAATTTAAAAAAATTTTAAAAAATTTGTAGTTCCGCCTCACATTTTAGCTGTAAATGTCATAATACGGTTAGGTTTTACTGCAATAAAATGCACATATTTGTAATCAGCGATGTCTCACGAGTACAACAGTACCCCCCATTAACAGGTTTTATGGTGTTTTGGAAGTTACAGGGTCAAATATAGAACGTTCCATTTTCAAATTGAAATTTGCCAGATTAGTAATGTTACCTTTGAGACGGTGTGGTAGCCCAGGAATGAGAATTACCCCCATAAAGACATACCATTTGAAAAAGTAGACAAGCCAAGGTATTGAACGTGGGGTATGTTTAGTCTTTTTTAGTAGCCAGTTAGTCACAAACACTGGCCAAAGTTAACGTTCAGATTTATTTTTGTGTGAAATAAGCAAAAAAACTAATATTTGGCCAGTGTTTGTGACTAAGTGGCTACTAAGAAAGACTGGACATACCCCACTTGCAATACCTCGGGTTGTCTACTTTTGCAAATGGTATGCCATCATGGGGGTAATTCTCATTCCTGGGCTACCATACGCTCTCAAAGGCAACATAACCAATCTGGCAAATTTCAATGTAAAAAAAAATGAAATGCAAGCCTTATATGTGACTCTCTTACTTTCCAAAACACCATAAAACCTGTACATGGGGGGTACTGTTATTCTCGGGAGACTTCACTAAACACAAACATTAGTGCTTTAAAACAGTAAAACATATTACAACAATAATATAGTCCATAAAAGTGCCGTCCGTTTGTAAAAAAAAATGCAAAAAACGTCACTTGTACTTAAAATATCATCGTTGTAATACAATTTACCAGTTTTAAACACTAATATTTGAGTTCAGCAAAGTCTCCCGAGTAACACAGTACCCCCTATGTACAGGTTTTATGGTGTCTTGGAGAGTTACAGGGTCAAATATAGTGCTTGCGAATTAAATTCTCTGCACTTTCTCCCTGTGTTGTCAGGTATGTCAATCAAATTTAAATTAATCAAATCACATAATTATGTTAAAAGATTACTTAAATATACACTGTAACAAACCACCTCTTTTACAGGTAGGATTGTCACAGATCTTGCAGTAACCACAGCCTTCTAGGGTATACAAAGTCCAGGACACATTCAGCTCGGTTTTCCTTTTTATTCAGCAAGAAAACAGGTGCTTTAAATAATAACAAAACAAACAAAATCCCTTGCTCTTACTTGAGCTCTTACTAGACAGTAATTGCTATCTGCAATTGGGTGGCTTTCCCACTTACCAATTTTCCAAACAAAAGAAATGTCTTTGCAATACACACAATCTCTCCTAGCTGTCTTTTTCTCCCTCACTCTGCAGCAGGCTGCCCTCTTCTTTTAAAGGCCTGTCTACTAATTGACTGGCTACAGGTGAGTGCCAATTAACTAACTCGTAAGTCAGATCCAAATAGTGGTCTGTTACACAGCAACTAATGCTGTTGGAGCATTGGCCCACCCTGCTCTCCAAATACTCCGCCCCAGGGACCCATACCAGGTTTTGCAGAGCATCTGCTATGCATATTGCAAACTTTAACCTCTCTCCCTGGGGCATTTAACTGAAAATCCTCTGGTTGCTGTTTAGCAAATCAGGTCTGATGTATCTCCCATCAACCACTATTCCACCTTTACGCTCACAACACGTAGAATTTTAATATATATGCATTTATAGGTATTTAAAGTCTACGTGTATACTAATGTAATCTTTTATGTAATTATATGTATTTATCTATATATATATATATTTGCGGTTATTTGTATTTTAGATATAGATAGATATATATAGAATGTCATTCTAAGTGTATTTTATTACCAATATATATTAATAACAAAATACAGTTAAAATTAAATTACATATGAATATATAATTTATATTAAATTTTGTTTCAATATTTTATTTATTTATTATTGTAATTATACATATATATATATATATATATATATATATAATATGTGTATATCTATTATATATATCTTTGAGAGCGATCACATGGCCCCCGGGGGCCTCATTTGCCGGGGGGAGAGCTGCCTGGGCTGTGAGGCAGCCCTCCCGAAGAGGATCGCGGCGGAGGTAAGTAAATCTCACCTCCCCTGGGCTTAAGCCGTTACGGCGTTCTATGGAGCCGCAACGGCTTTAAAGC